GTGTGTGTGTGTGTGTGTGTGTGTGTGGTTGGGTGGGTGAGGGGAGGGGGTGTATTATCCCTAAAAGCCAACCATGAGGCACAGCTTGTGAGCATGCACTCTCACACCGAGGCGCACGCATAAAAACAGGTATTAAAAGTGAACATGGCGCTGTCAACACATCTGACTCACTGTCTGCGCATTACATTACCATCAAAACCGACACCCATTTTAAAAAAAGAAAGATTTATATCAGTACTAGAAATACAACGACTACTGTAAAACGTGGCCGAGTGCTAAAAGGAGAGGCTTGTGATAGTTGGGTTTGGGCTGGGATTAGACTTAGGTTTAAACTTTGTCTTGGAGTACGGCTCCGGCTTCGATTTGTGCTTTGGCTTACGCTCAGATTTGGGGTTGGGGTTAAGGTTTCGTTTGTTTTGGTTTAGTTTTAGTAAGAGTTTTGCGGCACTTGCAAACATAATTAGGTCAAATAAATGGCTAATACGGGGTGCTCATTACGGACGGGGTCGGCCGATCGGGCTGATCGCCCGACTCGATCGCCTAAAAAAACAAACGTGTTTGTTTTCAGTTTCAGGCGATCGAGTCGGGCGATTGGCCCGATCCAGCCGTAGTGGGCACCCCGTATAAGATCACAAGAGAGTAACAAACACAAAAAGAAAGAGGAGAGATAAGGGCGATAGATATTTCATAGATAGGAAAGAAGAAGCAACCATACCAAAACACCCACCAACCACCCACAGTTAAGACTGAGATTTAGATTTGAGGTAAGGGAAATGCATATTTCAAACTTTAAATTGGGTTAAGATTCGGCTTCACAACAATGGTATTTACTCTTTCTGCGCCAAGTAACTACACATCAAATGCTATTACATCTTTTGACCATGTGCCAACGACCCCAAGAACGAAAAGTGTTAATTTATTGAACCACGTGAGTCTGGGGTGAATGTTTTCAAATAAACCTCGCTTTCCAGCGAAACGTTACTTTTGAAACTTTGAGCGTTCTCCACTATCGCTTCTAAAACACCGCAAAGGGCACACAAGCAGGATAATTCAGACTGATCATGGTTTTGCAGCTCTGCCAATACTTATGAGAATGTCCCATGCTTAAAACAATACGAGAGAGAGTGAGTGAGTGAGTGAGTGAGTGAGTGAGTGAGTGAGTGAGTGAGTGTGTGTGTGTGTGTGTGTGTGTGTGTGTGTGTGTGTGTGTGTGTGTGTG